TTGGAAGCCAGATCCCAGCCCAGCCGAGCCCGGGAGTGGGCAGCCAGAGCTCAGCGATGCTCGGGGCAGCCCTTGGGCTTTCGGCTCCCAGTTCCCGACCCTCCCCAGCTCCAGCTCTGCAGCGCGGTCCCTACCCATGTGTGCAGCCCCCAGGGCGAGCAGAGGAGGCCAGGGACCCCATGCCCACAGCAGTCACCTGCTCCCAGCCAGGGAACCAGAGACCCGGGGACACGCTGCTCCCTGGCTGTGCCACCAGTAAAGACCAGAAGCCAATCTGGCTGTGTATGGGGACGCCACAAGTTCATCTTCCACCTATTTTTCTCCCCAGAAATGCTGCAGCGTGAAGGGTTAATGGCACCAAGCAGGTCCTGTGCCATATGTCCCTCCCTGTCCCCGCGACCCGATGTCCCCTCCAAGGGCAGATGGCACGGGGCCGGCTCCCCGGTGCCCTTGGCTGGGGGCCATGCTGGGCTGGCCAATGCAGCTGCCGGCACAGGGCCAAGATGCGGCGCCCGCTAAATCCCCCGTGGCGGATCAGCCCCGAGAGGTAATCGGAGGAGACAGGGAGGAAGAGCCGAGCAGGGGCCGGAGGGGTGCGAGGCTGTTACACAAACCCTGATGGCTGGAGCAGGACCCGCAGCATCCCCTGGCCCTCCCCAGCGGGGACGGTCCCCAGCCCAGCCTCACCTGCGACTCGGAGGGGAGGAAGGCAATGTTGATCTCTGTCAGGGTTTTGATGACCTTGGCAGCACGGGATTTCACCAGCTCGTTGAAGAGGGCGTCGGGGCAGGCTGCAAGGAGGAGGAGGAGGAGGAGGGTAGCGCTCAGCATCCCAGCATCCCTCCACCCTGCTTGCTCGCATGTGCGTTAGTGACAGGGACTGTCCCTCCCCTCCGCATACTCACAGTCAGTGAAGAAGACGTGGGCAGCTCTGTACTTGGAGGTGGGGGGATCCTTGAAGTCGTTGATGAGGGAGTGGATGGACTGCAAGACAGAAGGGACCAGGTGGGCTGGGCACGGTGGCACTGCTGGCATCTTGGTAGGGTCACCTGGGGTCCTCCCTCCCAGCGTGGGGGGGGCTG